TTCTTGACCTGTATACAGATTTCTCAGGAGGCAGGTACGGTGGTCTGGTATTCCCATGTCTTTAGAGATATGAAGGAAACATTTCATGCAAAAACGGGCACAATAAATGACAGAAATAGTATGGACCTAAAAAAAGCAGATGATATTAAGAAGAGGTGGCAAGAATACACAGAAGAACTCTACAAAAAAGATCTTCATGACAAAGATAACCACAATGGTGTGATCACTCACCCTAGACCCAGACAACCTGGAGTATGAAGTCAAGTGGGCCTTAGGAAGCACTACCATGAACAAAGCTAGTGGAGGTGATGGAATTCCCATTGAGCTATCTCAAATCCTAAAAGATGATGCTGTGAAAGTGCTGCACTCAATATGCCAGCAAATTTGGAAAATTCAGAAGTGGCCACAGGACTGGAAAAGGTCAGTTTTCATTCTAATCTCAAAGGGCTGTGCCAAAGAAGGTACACCTTACTGTGGATCACAACAAACTGTGGAAAATTCTTAAAGAGATGGGAATACCAGACCACCTTACCTGCCTTCTGAGAAACCTGTATCCAGGTCAAGAAGCAGCATTTAGAACTGGACAAGGGACAATAGACTGGTTCTAAATTGGGAAAGGAGTTGTCAAGGTTGTATATTGTCACCCTGCCTATTTAACTTATATGCAGAGTACATCATGCAAAATGCTGGGCTGGCTGAATTACAAGCTGGAATCAAGAATGCCAGGAGAAATACCAATAACCTCAGATATGCAAATGACACCACCCTTATGGCAGAAAGTGAAGAGGAACTAAAAAGCCTCTTGATGAAAGTGAAAGAGGAGAGTGAAAAAGCTGGCTTAAAACTCAACATTCAAAAAGCTAAGATCATGGCATTGGGTCCCAAAACTTCATGGCAAATAGATGGGGAAACAATGGAAACAGTAACAGATTTTATTTTCTTGGGCTCCAGAATCACTGCAGATGGTGACTGCAAGCCATGAAATTAAAAGATGCTTGCTCCTTGAAAAAAGTGTATGACAAACCTATCCAGCATACTAAAAAGCAGAGACATTACTTTGTAACAAAGGTCTGCATAGACAAAGCTATGGTTTTTCCAGTAGTTATGTATGGATGTGAGAGTTGAACCATAAAGAAGGCTGAGCACCAAGGAATCGATGCTTTTGAACTGTGGTGTTGAAGAATCCTGGAGAAGACTCTTGTTGAAGTCCCTTGGAGAGCAAGGAGACCAAACCAGACAACCCTAAAGGAAATCAGTCCTGAATACTTATTGGAAGGACTGATGCTGAAGTCCAATACTTTGGTCGCCTGTTTCGAAGAGTCGACTCATCAGAAAAGACTGATGCTGGGAAAGACTGAAAGCAGGAGGAGAAGGGGATGACAGAGGATGAAACGGTTGGATGGCATCATCAACTCAACAGACATGAGTTTGAGCAAGCTCCAGATGGTGAAGGACAGGGAAGCCTGGCATGCTGCAGTCAATGGGGTCACAAAGAGTCGGACACAACTGAGAGACTGAACAAGAACAACAAGGCCTCCAGGTCAAAGGCTTTATCACAGACATGCAGGATTTCTCATGTGGATCATGTTCATCCAAATTTTTATCTATAGGATATGATTCTACAGCTTTTTAGAGGAAATACCACAAGACAGAAAGGCTCATGCTTCTTCCTAGGTTAACAAGGCAATTACTTGTTTTGAGGTTGTAACTTGGCCTTGAGCGACAGGTGGCCTTCCAGCTTTAAGCTGCTGCCTAGAAAGAGATGAGACTCACCCTTTCATGCATCTACAACTCACATGATGTAATTTGGGGAAGAGAAAGAAAAAAGCCACTCCTTCCCTTGCTTGTGGTTTAGTGCCCTTGCTTAATGTTGTGTGTTCAAGACCCTAGAGCAATGTTATGAGATTATATATTTACATATATCTCCATAGCCACACACACACACACACACACACATACACTTATGTATACCTATTACATACAGACTCACAGATGAGGGTAGGGGGTATCCTTTATTCACTCAGGACCTGCTGTGCCAGGTACTGTACTAGCCTGAAGATATGGTGATCAACATAATAAATATGGTTCCTGCCCTTACCGTCTTAAAGTTCTGTTACTGTCTCAGTTCAGTTCAGTTCATTCAGTCATGTCCAACTCTTTATGACCCCATGGACTGCAGAACACCAGGCTTCCCTGTCCATCACCAACTCCCGGAGTTTACTCAAACTCATGTCCACTGAGTCGATGATGCCATCCAACCATCTCATCCTCTGTCAGCCCCTTTTGCTCCCACCTTCAATCTTTTCCAGTATCAGGGTCTTTTCAAATGTGTCAGTTCTTCACATCGGGTGGCCAAAGTATTGGAGTTTCAGCTTCAGCATCAGTCCTTCCAATGAATATTCCTTTAGGATGTGGACTGGTTGGATCTTCTTGCAGTCCAAGGGACTCTCAACACACACAGTTCAAAAACATCAATACTTCAGCACTCAGCTTTCTTTACAGTCCAACTCTCACATCCAAGCATGACTATTGGAAAAACCATAGCTTTGACTAGATGGACCTTTGTTGGCAAAGTAATGTCTCTGCTTTTTAATATACTATCTAGGTTGGTCAGAGCTTTTCTTCCAAGGAGCAAGCATCTTTTAATTTCATGGCTGCAGTCACCACCTGCAGTGATTTTGGAGCCCCCCAAAATAAAGTCTGTCACTGTTTCCATTGTTTCCCCATCTATTAGCCATGAAGTGACAGGATCAGATGCCATATCTTAGTTTTCTGAATGTTGAGTTTTAAGCCAACTTTTTCACTTTTCACTTTCACTTTCATCAAGAGACTCTTTAGTTCTTCACTTTCTGCCATAAGGGTGGTGTCTTCTGCATATCTGAGGCTATTGATATTTCTCCTGGCAACCTTGGTTCCAGCTTGTTTCATCCAGCCCAGCGTTTCTCATGATGTACTCTGCATATAAGTTAAATAAGCAGGGTGACAATATACAGCCCTGACATACTCCTTTCCTGATTTGGAATCAGTCTGTTGTTCCATGTCTGGTTCTAACTGTGGCTTCTTGACCTGCATACAGATTTCTCAGGAGGCAGGTGAGGTGGTCTGGTATTCCCATGTCTTTAAGAATTTTCCACAGTTTATTGTGGTCCACACAGTCAACGGCTTTGACATAGTCAATAAAGCAGAAGTACATGTTTTCCTGGAACTCTCTCGCTTTTTCGATGATCCAATGGATGTTGGCAATTTGATCTTTGATTCCTTTTCTAAATCCAGCTTGAACATCTGGAAGCTCACAGTTGACATACTATTGAACGCTGGCTTGGAGAAGTTTGAGCATTACTTTGCTAGTGAGTGAGATGAGTGCAATTGTGCCGTAGTGTGAGCATTCTTTGGCATTGCCTTTCTCTGGGAATAGAATGAAAACTGATCTTTTCCAGTCCTGTGGCCACTGCTGACTTTTCCAAATCTGCTGGCAAATTGAGTGCAGCAGTTTCACTGCATCATCTTTTAGGATTTGAAATAGCTCAACTGGAATTTAAAGCCTAGTTGAATCATTGATGAGACTTTGTCAAAGTTACCATATCGCGCAAGTGCTTCCCATCCCGTCCCCCTAAAAAGTTCATGTGAGCAGCAAATCTTTCACTGGTTTCATTTTATAGGGCTGCAACTGCAGGTGTCTTCAGCTGGTGGTCTTCATTTTACAGGTTTTTACTTACCTGCGTGCACAGCAAAGTGGCCTATGGAGCATCACTGTTTTGTCCTGAAAATGGGCTTCTGCCCCCCTCCCTCTCCCAATTGCTGCATAGTTTTCAATACTCCAGAATCACTACAGTATGGTAGGGTAGGGCCATGTAACATGAACACACCCACCAAGAACTTCAAAACACGTAAGCATGATCTATTTCTCTCCAATAGGTCCTGTCTCTCCTAAAGGTGATCATTCAAGGCTGCCAGTAATTGAATTAAAATATCCTTCGAACCCACTGGATATGCTTTAAAAATTTACTTAGGCTGTCCTCTGCAACTGTTCGGCTTTAAGGAGACTAGAGTACAAATATAATTACCCTGGTTGAGTTTAAGGGGAAACAGCAATCAACAGCGGGTTGTCCTTCTAGAGAAGGGATTCAGGAACCACTGGCGCTCGTCGGACATCCTGCTGAGGGCGGGTGCCAAGTCCCCGCGGCATCGCGGGCGAGGATAAGTCCCGCCCTCGCGCACACAGCGGCCTATCTGAGCTCTCGGGCCTCCAGGGCCGCGGAGAGAATTCCGTTAGGAAATCGTCCATCGGCTCTGGACTGTCAGTACCCGCAAACTCAGGAGTGTGTGCTTCTCCTTCCGCAGTATCCAAGCACGAAGCGCGGCCCAGGTGACTGGGCGAGCGCAGCCCCCTCGGCGAACACGGAAGCCCGCTAGCAGGCCGTTCTGCGCACCAACTTTCACTCAAAACCCGCCCGCCTCGCTTCAGGGTCGCCTCGCCCGTCCGTGATGGCGTCACAAAGCACCGCCCACTCCACCTCAGTCGCATTCTCTCAAGCCTGTGAGGCGACACCCACGCCCGGCCCGGCCACACCGCGTCAGAGGCGCCCCGCCCGCCCGCGATGACGTCAGAAAGCACCGCCCACTCCGCCTCAGGGGCACTCTCTCAAGCCTGTGAGGTGACATCCACGCCGGGCCCGGCCACCCCGTGTTAGAGACGCCCCGCCCGCCCATGCGATGAAGCCACACCTCAGCCAGCCCCGCCCACCCCGCCTCCGCGGCGCTGGCGGGCCCTGTGGGATGACTTCCCACGCGGGCCGGGCCCACCACGCGTTGGGGCGCACCCAGGCCCGGGGACCACGCCCGGCTGCCGCAGTGGAACACCTCGGCTCCTCGCCGCCTCCGCCACCACCGCGCCCTGCGTGCTGACGTCACACGGCGCCGCGAGCGGAAGCGCGGGCGGGCTGGGCGGCTGCGCCGGCCCCTCAGAGGGGCGCTGCAGCGCGGGCTGAGGCGCCTCGGCCGGGAGCCGAGTGGAACGCTACGCGGCGGGGCCATGAGCGGCTCCAGGGCTCCGGGCCCCGAGGCGGGCGCCTCCGGGGCAGAGCCCCCAGGGGCGGCGCTGAGCGTGGACGTGGCAGGGCTGCTGGCACAGCTGGCGCGCAGCTTCGCGCTGTTGCTGCCGGTGTACGCGCTGGGCTACCTGGGCCTGAGCTTCAGCTGGGTGCTACTGGCTCTCGGGCTGCTCGTGTGGTGCCGCAGGAGCCGCGGCCTTAAGGCCACCCGCCTGTGCCGCGCGCTGGCGCTACTGGAGGACGAGGAGCGCGCCGTGCGCCTCGGGGTGCGCGCCTGCGACCTGCCGGCCTGGGTGAGTGGGCGCCGCAGACCCCTGCCCGCCCCCGGCCCTGACCCGCCCTCCCGCCTGTGCCGGTCAGGGTCAGGGGCCCCGGGCCCCCTCTGACCCCGCCTTCCCACTCGGTCTGGGAGGTCCTCGCTTACCTCGACTCTGGCCCAGGTCAGACCAGGGATGCCCGCCCGTCACGGTCCTGGCCCTGACCCCGCCTGCCCGCTCGGGAGTGCCGAACCGCCCCTACCTGGCCCGGGTCGGGTCCCCACCCTCCCTGACCCCGCCTGCCCGCTGGGTCAGGGGTCCCCGCCCGTCACTACCCCGCCCGGGTCGGGGTTCCCACCCGCCCCGTCAGGGGTTCCTGCCTGTCCTCGCCCCGCCCGACTGGACCCCGCCCGAGTCGTGGTCCCTGCCCGCCGCGACCCCGGCCCTGACCCCGCCCGCCCGCCGGGTCAGGGGTTCCTACCTGTCCTCTTCCCGCCCGAGTCGGGGTACCTGCTCTTCGCGACCCCCGCCCTGATCCCGGTCGCCTGTTGGGTCAGAAGTCCGGGCTCGTCCCCGCCCCTCCCGGGTCTGGGGTCACCTCACTCCCCGACCCCGCCCACGTGGGGCGTTCTGAGCCCCGGGCTCCGGCGTCTGTCCGAGCCATGTAAATCGGGGGTCTCCAACGCTGTCGCCGGGCCCCCACCCCTCCGGCCCACTGTCGGCCCGCAGACCCCGCGGGTGGGCGCCTTCACCTCTCCGCGCGGGCGGGTTCCGAGCACTGGTGAGGCGAGCCCCGCGCGCTCCTCCCGCGGCCACGTCTCCAGGCCTCCCCGCGCGGTGCCGCGACTCCCGCCGCTGGAATGTGAGCTCGGGGCGCCTGGTGCGCTCCGCGGGCCTGAACGCCGCTCCCTTCTCCGCTGCGGAGAAGGCGGCCAGCGGTGAGCGGGGAAGGGTGGTTTCCTCCTCCCCTGAGACGCCTCAGCCATTTCTTTTTTGTCTCTGACACAGTTGAGCAGTGGGGGTCCTCCAAAAGATCCTCTGGTGTTAGGATAATTGAAGGTTTGTTTCACTTCTTTGGAATTAACGTTATAAGCTGAGTAACTTTTATGTAGGGTAGACTTGAATCCGAGGTGAATTTTAGGTGGGTGGGGGCAGGAAGTTTTGGAAGAGTTGCACTAATGGAAAGAGTCCTGGTACTGATTATTTTTACATCCAGCAATTCTCGTCATAATTTATGCAATGTGGAAACTAATGGGGTTGGCTCCCTCCTGCTTTCTTAACCATAAGTTGGTGTCACAGTTTCAGGTAACAGGAAATAGTGCTTATTTTAAGATAAATGATGTTCATGTTAGGCTTGATGTAAAACTTCATGGGGAAATGGCCAGCCAGTGACTTTGAAAAGGATCGTTTTCTCTGAGCGGAGAAAAGGACTTGGAGTGTGATCCCTGTTTCCAGTCATAAGACATTTGTCATAGAGTACATGACACAGGCAGACAGGTTGGAAAGCTGGAATGCCCAGGGTCGGGAGAAACCTAACCTAATGGCTACTACCTGTAACGACAAACAGCAATTGTAATAAGAATCTCACAGTCAGGGACTTTGGGAATTTAAAATTCTGTCAATACATGGTGGATGTGTGCACAGTAGTATTTGGAAGAATCAGAATAAGTAGTGTGGTGTAGCTTTTCGCCAGAAGCAGAAAAGAGGAGTGAAGTGTAGAAACCAGGCATGAAAAGCCAAGAACAGAGGTACACTTGTTGGCAAGGCAGAAGGACTTTCAAGTGGCATCTTGTGTCTTATGTTACACCGAATTAAATGATTACAGAAAGTAACCAAAAACAGTGAGTAGGGACATTGCCTGAACAGCAGACATCGACATTACCCGAACAGCAGGGTCGAGAGTCACAGGAATTGGGGGTGTTGACATTCATAGATACTTGGTTATGGAGCAGTTGACTAACATAAAAATTTGCTTATGAAAGTTGTGAAATGCATGCTATTTTAACAATTAACAGGTATGTTTGTTACCATATTGAAGGACATGACAATTTTTTTTTTTTCTATCAGAAGAAAAGGGTAATTAGCCAAAGATTCCTTTCTTGGATTTTCCTCTGTGTGACTTAAACTGATGAACCTTAGTGTTCATCTCATACAATATGGAATTTCTGTTTTTCACACAGCTTTTCACTTGTTCATCAAATTTGTATTTGTGCTCACATTACACATACATACACTTAAACACACTTGTATTGCTTAGAAAACTGCTGTGAGAATTCACACAGGACATGATCGTGATCATATCCAAGAAAAGCCTAGGAGTCCGAGGTTTGAGTAAGATGTTTTAATACCTTTTTTATTGTAATACCCGTGTGTTATTTTACTAATAAAGCCAGTGAATTACACTGCCTAGAAGTGGACCTGCTGTTCTCTTATAGCTAGAGAACAAATCAGCAATAGAAATCGTTCATATGTAAGAAGAGTTACGGTTTCTGTATTAGTAGTTCTTTGATTTTTATTGTACAAACTTAGGTTCGGGTTGGTATTTTGCTTTGAACAAGATGTGTTTGTGCAGATTTCATAGTGTGTCATTGACAGCTGTGATTCACAGCAGGGTAGAAGGAGAGGAAAACATGAAGTAATGTGGTACTCACTTCTTAGCTTTACTTTTGAATATGTTTACTCACAATTTTTCTTCTTTTTATTTAGTAAAGTAAAAATTTATGCTGACTGTAAAATGAGATGATAAATATTAATACTTTAAGAAAAATATATATACTATTTCAAATCAAGGCTATTAGGAGGATATGAAAAATGGCTCTCATTTAACATGTGGCAATTCTGTAAGACTTTGATCTTAGAGCTTTAATGTGAACCACAGTACTATTCATTTCTTTACTCTTTTTTTTCCATCAACAGGGAAATCACCTGATAAGTCTGAGTTGACAGATTGAGGATCTGATGGGCATCTAGGTTGCTTCCATGTCCTGGCTATTATAAACAGTGCTGCGATGAACATTGGGGTGCACGTGTCTCTTTCAGATCTGGTTACCTCGGTGTGTATGCCCAGGAGTGGGATTGCTGGGTCATATGGCAGTTCTATCTTGAGGAGTTTTTAATAGAGATGCGTAAAGATGGTTTTCCACTACAATTTTTATTTGAAAAATTAGAACTTGGTGTGAAGTCTGCCCTTTTTCTGTTTTCACTGCTGCCAATTAATGTTGATTTTATGGCTGCAAATAAGTAGAAACCCAAACCTGCCATAAATGACAATTGGTCTTCTATTCCTCTTAAACCTTGATGATTGAGATTTAAAACATAGTCAGTGTATGTGTTCTGCTGTTTTTACTATATGCACTAGCTTCTCTTTAGGGAGAGCTTTCTTCCCGTGGTTCTTCTGGTAAGTTCAGGAGAATTTTAAGTCTAGCCAAAATTTATTATGTAGACTAAAAACCAGATAAGCAAAAGAAAAGAACACACTTTGGTCTTATGTAAAGGAAGGGGAAATACTTTTATTCTCAGTGTTAATCATTGGCTTATACTATTAAAACATTTTGTGAAGACTCGTAACAGACTTGTAGCTACATCAGGACCCAGAGTTGAGCTGTTTTAAACTGCAGTTGCAACTTTAGATCCTAGAGCAATCAAATGCTTGAAGAAATGTTAGAACCTCCTCAAAGCTGTGACAGAGACATGGTTACTCTTTGGGTTTCTTATATGCACCTGCTACTGCTATAGTCACCCTCACCTTGCTGTTATGCTATCTAAGTGCTTCACGAAGTTAGAGCAGAAGGCCCCACGGTTGCCGGACATAAAGTAGTAAATACCTGTTTTTTAGTTCAAGCTGACAGATGGATTTAAATTCAGGATCTATGCATATATCAGGCTGTGTGCTCTGGTTTTTCTGCTTCAGGTGAATATTAGCCTCACTTTATATTTCAAGATTGGAAAATGTAGAGCTAGGACTAAATTATAAATAATTAAAACAGATACAGGAATTGAAAATATATGTAATATATTTATATTAAATTATATTTAGTTAATATATGTTATGTTAAGTTATATTAAATATGTGTGTAAAATATAGATCTTGGTCCTGTGAAGAAACAATTATGAACAACTGGCTAGTGACTTAGTGTTCTACTTAGGCCTGGTGAACCTCTTAGTATATTCTTTGAGTTTTCATGATTTCTACATTGGTTGCAGCATTTAACTTTGAATGATATCACATATTGAAAATAGATTAAGAACAACTGAACGGTAGACGTTAAATGAGTGAATTTTATGGTATGCGAATTACTTGTCAATAGTGCTGCTGAAAAATATTATAGACATTAAATTTCTTTTAAAAATAAGTGAAACAGGTGATTAGTTATAGTACAGAGTAAGCCACACAAACCACCTTGCTTATGGAATTCCAGCTAAAGCTGTTACAACTTTCAAAAATTATTGTTTCAATGTAAATTTGGAGTAATTTATAAAGAATATTTAATGAAAGAGGAGGGCTTACGAATGAAAAAAGTAACTCCATAAATATTTTTACCTTAAACCTAATGTTACTTTCGACTCCTTATGGCTCAGTGGTAAAGAATCCTCCTGCCAATACAGGGATATGGGTTTGAGCCCTGGTTCTTAAAGATCCCCTGGAGAAGGAAATGGCAACCCACTCCAGTATTCTTGCCCGTGGACAGAGAATCTGACACAACTGAACAACAGATGTTACTTTAAGCGTTGATGCTGCATTGACTAAACGATCAAATAAAGATTTCGCTTCAAAGGTATAAATAGCCTAAATGTGTGTGTTGTGTGTAGGGGGTTGTGTGTGAGTTATTCTAAACTCTTAACTTTAATTCAAGGTAATGATACGTAATTACAGTGTGTGTTTGGGAAATTTAGCTGATAAATTGGTTTGTTTTTTATAAGATATATTCTATCACAGAGCTTCCCTGGTGGCTCAGACTGTAAAGAATTTGTCTGCAGTGCAGGAGACCCAGGTTGAATTCCTGGGTTGTGAAGATTCCCTGGGGAAGGAAATAGCA